GAGCTTGTGGTGCCATGGTAGTGGACCTCCCAAGGGCAGGTGAGCTTGTGGTGCCATGGTAGTGGACCTCCCAAGGGCAGGTGAGTTGTAGAGGGGGGGGGCATGCATGCAGCCTAATATGTGGTTAATAGTCTCTCAACCCTATTTCCAAGGGCAGGTTAGACCTTGCATGTGACACTGACTGCACTATTGAGGTGCCTCTAAACTGCTCCTTTCTGCGCTCTCTTTTGTCCCATCGCAGGCTGCGCATGTTCCTCAACGAGGATGTGACTGTAGGAGCATGGATGCTGGCATTCGACGTGTCTCATGAAATGAGCTGGCCGCTCTGCCAGAATAACTGCACGCCCACTGCTGTGGCGGTGTGGGACATGCCCACCTGCGCCGGCCTCTGCAAGCCCGATGTGCAGATGAAGGTGCTGCATGACAACCCCGCCTGCTCTGGAAGAGTGCCAGCGTAACTCACTGCAATTATTCCATTCTTTATAGCCAACGGGTTAGGGTCGGATTGGACTCCGAGAACACCCTCGAGCCACGACTGGCTGTGGGGAGCTCGTGAGCTCCAGCCTATACTAGCTCACGTGCTCTTTTGTGTATGGTCTGTTGTGAGGCAGCCACCTGCCAGAACTACCCTAAAAATTTTCCCACAACCCACAAAAGGCTTTTTGCTGAGCAAGCAACTTCAGATGTTTTCCGCTACACTCCGAGCACATTTACAAACATGCTGCCAGCCACGCACGCCTAACAGTAAAACCACAAGGATTCCCACATGCGCTAACACCTCTGCCAGAATAGATTGCCCTGTCCTCTGCTGTGGCCGTGTGGGACACGTCCACTTGCAAACCTCGCGAGCATATGTGAGAGGTACCATACTGTCAGAAACCCAGTCACTAACCACTGGGTTAAAAGGGCTTGTTGAATAGCGGGTAAGTGCGCCCATAGCCCCCAAGGCTCTGCACCTGTAGCCCTTCCCCGAGGATCTCAAGGGCAACCCCAGCGGGTCACTCAACACCCCCCCCCCCGCAAGGATAGGTGGAAGACACGAGCGCCTCTGCAGCGCTGGCACTGGGAGTTGAACCCAAGACCTTTGGCTCAGATACCTTTGGCCCTCCTGTTCAGTCCTCGCCGGCCGCCCCTCCCCCAGCGTCCCCTCCCCAGTCCCCCCCTCCACCGCCTCTGCCGCCACTGCAGCCGTCGTTGTCGCTGCCGCCGCCGCCGCCGCCGCCGTCGCAGCACCCGTTCGCTGACTCTGGGGGTGCTCGTCCCGGTAGCTCTGGGGGTGGTCCCTCTGGGGGTGCTGGTGTGGAGAGTGCCGGTGGTAGCCGAGGAGCAGCTTGCGGTCCCGGTGTCGCCGTTGTGCCGCCGCAGCAGCAGTCCCCGCCGGTGTCAGCCCTTCGCCTGCTCGGCCTTCCGTCCCCCGACCCTGCGTCGGTTCCTCCCCGGCCGTCTCCTCCTCTTCCTGTCTACGGCCCTGTCTTCCCTCCGCCGGACTCGTCCCCGGCCCGTCTCCCCCCTCGTTCCCCTCCTGTGTCCCCTCCTCTGTCTCCTGACCCGACTCCTCCGTCGCACGTCTGGTCCCACCGTCCCTCCCGCGCTCGTCCTGCCTCGCCTGTCTTGCGCTCCCACCCTATGTTGCTTCGTTCCCATGCGTCTTGTCCTCCCCTTCTGCCGTCGCCTCCTCCGTCCTCTCTTGTTGTTGCACCCCCCCCGCTGTCTGACTACCTTCGTGCCGCTCGTCCCCTTGTTCCTTGGGTCCTTGCCTCTCTCGTTACCGACCCGTCTGTTCCGACCTCGTGCCTTGACGCTCTTGTCGCTGCTGTCGCTGACTTCGCCTCTACCCGCCGCCTTGACTACGCCACCGCTCTGGTCTCTGACCCTGCCTGTCCTCCGTCTGTCGGGGGTGCTCCTGCCCTTGGCAGTGACGTCCTGGAGGACCGCCAGTTCGAGCTTGCTTTCCTCTCCGAGGCTGCTCCCCATCTCTGTTCCATGCTGCTAGTCCCTGAGGGTGACCCAGACGCTTTCGACATCCCGACCCCTCGCACTTACGCTGAGGCGACTTCGGGACCCTGGGCCTCGCAGTGGATAGCTGCCATGGAGCAGGAGATGGCATCTTGGAGATCCACCAGCACCTTCGTCGACGCAGTTCCCCCACCTGGGGTGAACGTAGTCGATGGCCGCTGGCTCTTCAAGGTGAAGCGCCCTCCTGGAGAGCCGCCTGTCTTCAAGGCGCACTATGTGGCTAGAGGCTTCAGTCAGCACGAGGGGGTGGACTTCTTCCAGACCTTCGCTCCGACCCAAAAGATGACTACTCTTCGGGTTCTGTTACACCTAGCTGCTCAGCGTGACTACGAGCTTCACTCCCTCGACTTCTCCACTACCTTCCTTCAGGGCAGCCTACACGAGCAGGTCTACCTGCGGCGCCCTCAGGGCTTCACTGGCACCTTCCCTCCTAGGACCCAGTGGCGGCGCCCCGTCTACGGCCTGCGCCAGGCTCCCCGTGAGTGGCACGACACTCTCCGTGCTACGCTTGCTGACCTGCAGTTCTTTCCATCTTCCGCAGACCCTTCACTCTTCGTTCGTGCTGGCCAGACTCAGTTCTACATCCTTGTTTACATCGACGACCTGGTCTTTGCCACAGCTGACAGGGACGCACTGGCCTCCGTGAAGGCAGAGCTGCTGAAGAGACACACGTGCACTGACCTTGGAGAACTGCGCCGTTACCTTGGCTTGCAGATCTCCAGGGACAGAGCAGCGCGCACCATCACCCTGACTCAGTCACACTTGGTGCGCCAGGTCCTTCAGAGGTTCAGCCTTCAGTTCTCCTCTGCACAGCCCACCCTTCTGCCTGTAGACCACAGACTCTCCGCTCTAGTGTCTGAGGAGTCGGTAGAGCCCAGCGGCCCCTACGCAGAGCTGGTGGGTTGCCTCATGTACTTGATGACTTGCACTCGCCCAGATCTCGCATACCCTCTCAGCATCCTGGCTCGCTTTGTGGCCACAGGCAGGCACCGACCGCAGCACTGGTCTGCCGCTAAGAGGGTTCTGCGTTATCTTGCTAGTACATCGGGCATGGGGTTAGTGCTAGGAGGACGCAGGCCAATGGTCCTTACTGGACACACAGACGCTTCGTGGGCAGTCGACGCTGAGACACTCAGGTCTACCCAGGGCTACTGCTTCAGCCTTGGCTCAGGTGCCGTCTCGTGGAGAGCTACCCGCTCCTCGTCTGTTGCGCAGTCCAGCTGTGAGGCTGAGATCTACGCTGGTGCCATGGCGGCACAGGAGCTCCGCTGGCTGACCTTCTTGCTCACCGACTTAGGTGAGCGGCCTAGCTCTGCCCCGGTCCTGTTCGCTGACAACAGGGCCATGATCCTCCTGTGTCAGGAGCCTCGACTCGAGGGCAGAGCAAAGCACATTCAGCTGCGGTACTTCCTCCTGCGTGAGCTACAGCAGCGACGACAGGCTCGCGTAGTACACTTGGCCTCAGGTGCCAATACGGCTGATATCTTTACGAAGGCGCTTGCGCCTAAAGATCATCAGCGGCACTGTGTACAGCTTGGTCTAGTTCCTGTAGCCTCTCACTTTATAGGACCTTGACTTTGTACTGTCCTTTATACGTATACTCAGACTGGACTTGTGTCCTCTCCCAGTGGCTGGACTAGTAGTGGCGCCCTGCTCTTGTTCTTGCCTTGTTTGTACTCCTTCTGACTGGTCTCTCAGACCCTTGTCTCAGCGGTTGGACTAGTAGTGCCGCCCTGAGCTGTTTGTTTAGAGCATTCCCCTATGCAGTCTAGGGGGTGTGTCAAACATGTGTATTTGTCATGTTTGTATAGACTGTATAGGGTCGTCTCTTAGAGAGTACAACACTTAGATATATCTGTGTGTTCACTCCATCTATCATACTCTTCTCAGTTTCTGTTACATACTTACATCCCACGACCACATGCAATGAGCTGGTTGTTAAAATTTATATATTGTGTTATATAATTGTTAGGCTTGGTAGCTTACTGAACTTTACTGTAGAGGGTACAACACCCCGCCTTATATCCCTCTCTTCTTTTCCCAACCTCTTTTCTCTCCTCAACTTTCCTAGCACCTAAAACCTCTTGCCATTCTCATGGCTCCTCCTAGCTCCTAGCTAAACCTTGAGCCATTCTATGGCTTCCTAGGTAAGCTAGTCTTTTGACATGGTATCAGAGCAGTTCGTTCCTTGTGGGCCTGCTCCTCGAGTTTCCGCTGCGTGCTCGTTTCTCTCTCTATCTCGCGCTGCCATGGCGGCCGCGTCAAGCTGCTGTGGCCGCGACATCGTGTCGCGGCGTCGCCGTCGACGTCCATGGCGCCCGCATCCTGCTGTTGTGGCCGCGCCGTCGTGCCGCTGCTCCGCCGTCGCGTCAAGCTGCTGTGGCGATGTGACGGCGCCGTCACGCTGCCGCGGCGTCTACGCGACAGCGCGCGGTCGGCGTAACGGCGACGTCGTGCTGTCGTCGCAGCGTCGACGTCCCGCTGCGGCATCGGCGCCGCTCCATGACGGCGTCGTCGGGCTGCAGCCGGCCGCGCGACGCCTGTGGCGCCGCTAGACCGGCCGCCCGCATGTCAGCGTGTGGCGCTCCCTCCCCACCCCCCCTCCTTCCCCTGTGTCCTCTTCCTTTCCGCAGACGACGGCTGACTCCCGCCGGCCGTTCCACCGTTGCGGGGCCTGGCCACGTCACCGAGAGGTGCGGGTGCCGCCGCCGCCGCCACTGTTGTCGAAGCCGCCGCCGCCGCCACTGTCGCCGCTTGCGTCGGGGCCACGCAGCCGCACGCCGCCGCCGCCGCCGCTGTCGACACTGCCGCCGCTGCCGCCGTCGCCGCCGCAGCCCCTGCGGTCGACGTCGCCGCCTCACGCGCCGTGGAGTCGACTGACCTAGTGTCGCTGTCACTGTGGCTGGAATGGGGGTGCTAGGTTAGGGGGTGTGGGTGTGTGTGGGCATGTGACTACCAAGCCTAAGGGGTGTGTTAAAATTATATATTGTGTTATATAATTGTTAGGCTTGGTAGCTTACTGAACTTTACGATAGAAGGTACAACACCTCTCCTTGTATCCCTCTCTCTTCTATTCCCAACCTCTTTTCTCTCCTCAACTTTCCTAGCACCTAAAACCTCTCGCCATTCTCATGGCTCCTCCTAGCTCCTAGCTAAACCTTGTGCCATTCTATGGCTTCCTAGCTAAGCTAGTCTTTTGACACTGGTGTCAAATGAATGTCCAGTTTGAGGCATCCTGCTTATAGGGGAAAGGCAGAGTTAGTTTTGGGGGAGTTGCGTCAGAATGCTGAGTCAGAATGAGTGGGGCTGAGTCAGAATGGGTGGGGCTGAGTCAGAAAGGGTGGAGCCGAGTCAGAATGGGTGGAGCTGAGTCAGTGCAGCACGGCTTTTCCCAATCTGCGAAAGTGAATGGTGGTTCCCCCCACTGTAGGCTACAGCTGCCACTCTCCACCCCTCGTTCGCCTGGGGCCAGGCTGCACCTGGGTCGGAGCCAGACAAGTTATTTTCGACCTCAGTGGCTGAATGGTTCCTTCCACGCTTGCAGTCCTGCTGCCACCCCCTCCTGCTCCCCACCCCCTCCCACCGCCCCTTCACTTGGCATGCTGCTGTGCCTGGGACTGAGTCAGCGCTGCAATCTCCGACCTGAGAGTGTGAATGGTCGCTTCTGTGCCAGCAGTCACAGCTGCCACTGCATCCCACCACTCCTTGACTTTTGGTGTGGCTGTGCCTGCTGCCACGGTCGCTGCCTCATGCAGTGCTGGTGCTGTCTCCTGCACCACCTGCAAGCCCGCCAGGATCTGGGAGGGAGAGGGAAAGATAAGGAGGGAGGTTATTGCTACCACTGCATCCCATCCCACCACTCCGTGAGGTGGGGTGTGGCTGTGCCGGCTGCCACGGTTGCTGCCTCATGCATCGAAGGTGCTGTCTCCTGCACCACGTGCAGGCCTGCCAGGATCTGGGAGTGAGAGAGAAGGATAAAGGAGGAGGGAGGTTATTGCTGCCACCGCATTTCATCACTCCTTTGCCTGCGGCGTGGCTGTGCCTGCTGCCACGGTTGCTGCCTCATGCAGTGCTGGTGCTGTCTCCTGCACCACCTGTAGCCCTGCCAGGATCTGGGAGTGAGAGGGAGTGTGTGTGTGTGTGTGTGTGTGTGTGAATGCAATGAGGTGAGTGAGTGAGACAGGAAGTGAGAAGGTCAGAGGGAACGGCACATTGCCACCACTCCTGCCTCACGCAGCGATGGTGCAGTCTCCTGCACCACCTGTAGCCCTGCCAGGATCTGGGAGTGAGGGGGAGCGTGTGTGTGTTCTTGAGTTGCTGAAAAGGCCATACTGCTTTCCCTTCTTTTACGGTATGACTGTGCCTGCTGCCGATGTTGCTGACTCATGCAGCGACTGCGCCGTCTCCTGCACCATCTGCAGCCCTGCCAGGATCTGGGAGTGAGAGGGAGTGAGAGGGAGCGAGAGGGAGCGAGAGGGAGTGAGAGGGAGTGAGAGGGAGTGAGAGGGAGTGAGAGGGAGCGAGAGGGAGCGAGAGGGAGTGAGAGGGAGTGAGAGGGAGTGAGAGGGAGTGAGCGGGAGTGAGAGGGAGTGAGAGGGAGTGAGAGGGAGTGAGAGGGAGTGAGCAGGAGGGAGTGTGTGTTTAGAAGTGGACTCAAAAGGCAGTACCACCATCCATTTACCTGGTGGAAGAATTGGTGTGCGTGTGTGGTTATTGACGATTAAGTCTCTGTGTGTGACAGTAGGAACGATGCACCTTGTGACAGACTGACCTGGAGAACAGCAGAGTGTTGCCGGTGCACGGCAGAGGCTCGAGGGCCTAACTTGATGGGACGAGGGGGGGGGTTGCGCTGCATCCAAGGGAGCAGGTCCTGAGGGGAAACAGAGGTGGGAGGGGCCATGGGGTGCATGGGGTGCATGGGGTGCATGGGGGCAATGGGGTGCATGGGGTGCATGGGGTGCATGGGGTGCATGGGGTGCATGGGGTGCATGGGGTGCATGGGGTGCATGGGGTGCATGGGTTGCATGGGGGGCAACGGGGTGCATGGGGAGCATGGGGTGCATGAGGTGCAATTTTGAGTCGACTCAAAAGACACCTCGCTGCAGCTGCATCCAAGGCAGCAAATCCCGAGGGGAAAGGGAGGTTGGGGGGGGGGGGGGATGGGGAGCATCTTGAGAGTAGGGCGAGGGGGCCGGTTGCGCTGCATTCAAGGCACAAGGTCCTGAGGAGATAGGGGGAACACGAGTCTAGTTTTGAGGCGCCTCAAAACGAGATAGGGGGGAACACGAGGTGCATAGGAGGGAGAATGAAGGCAGCAGCTACTGCGGAGTTAGGGCCGGGGGGGGGGAGTGGGGGGGTGGGTGGGGGAGCATAGGAGTGAGCACGAAGGCAGCACAAGGTGGAAAAGGGCTGTGTGGTGTGCATGGGGTGCGTCGAAGCATCATGAGGGAAGGGCGAGGGGATGGTGGCGCTGCACCCATGGGAGCAGGTCTCGAGGGAGAAAAGGGGCACCAAGAGGTGGGTGCAGGGAGGCATAGGGTTCGTTGGGGAGGAGTGAGGGGGGGCCAGCACGAGGGCAGCATGAGGGCAGCAGGAGGGGAACATGGGCAGGTGGGTTGCAGGGGGGCATGAATGAGGGGAGCCGTGGGGGAACAGATGTCAGACTCATCACCCTCTCACCCCAATCACTCTGTGGACATTCTGGCAGGCAAGTTAGAGGTAGTGTCTTCTGGTCACATGCATTGATCCACCTCACGCCACTCAGGTACGCTCACCCACTCACCCTGTCCACCTTATTGGCAACCTCGTTAGCAAAAGAGAGAGGGGCGTGTATTAAAGCTCCCCAAGTTACCCACTCACCCTCTCACCCAATCCACTCACCCTGTCTTTCGTCTGAAGCCCAGAAGAGCCTCACCACTGCCCACTCACCCTATCCACTTTATTGGCAACCTCGTTAGCAAGACCGAGGTAGCGCCGCACAGCAGCAGTGAGACTGGCATCAGCCACAATGCTTCCCTGTCTCTCATCTGACGCCTAGAGGTGCCCCACCACTGCCCACTCACCCTGTCCACTTTATTGGCAACCTCGTTAGCAAGGCTGAGGTACCGCCGCACAGCAGCAGTGAGATTCGCATCAGCAGCTGTGGTGTGCTGCTGGCTCTGGTCTCGCAGGGGGTCCACCACACACTGAGGACAGGGGGGAGTGGATTTGGGGGAAAGTTTAACGCATTAGGGTTAGAGGAGAGGGGAAAACTGGGCAGAAGGCAGAGCCAGCATCAAGGGCAGCATCAGCTGCCGTGTGCTACTGGCTGTGCTCTCGCAGAGGGGCCACCACACACTGTGGGGCAAGGAGCAAGGGGGCTCAAAGTTAAGACTAAATGGGAAAAGCGCGCTGAAGGCTGGCAGCAAGGGTAACATCGCCAGCTGCCTTTGCTGCTGGCTCTGGTCACGCGGAGGGTCCACCACACACTGAGGACAGGGGCTATAGGAACCGGGAGGTTGCTAAACGTATTAGGAGGATTAAAGAAGCGGGGAAAACAGACCGAAAGGCTGGCATCAAAGGCAACATCAGCTGCCGTGTGCTGCTGGCTGTGGACTGGCCGATATTCCACCACCACACACTGAGGGGGAAGGTGTGCTTATCAGGGTTTAGGGAGACGAGGATAAAAGCCACGGCAACCTGATCGGCCAGTAGGATGGTGTCATCGTGACTCTGCTACTTCCTCTCCCTCATGTACGTCCTCTCGACTCCCTCCCCTGTCTCTCCTCTCTCCCCTGTCTCTCCTCTCTCCCCTGTCTCTCCTCTCTCCCCTGTCTCTCCTCTCTCCCCTGTCTCTCCTCTCTCCCCTGTCTCTCCTCTCTCCCCTGTCTCTCCTCTCTCCCCTGTCTCTCCTCTCTCCCCTGTCTCTCCTCTCTCCCCTGTCTCTCCTCTCTCCCCTGTCTCTCCTCTCTCCCCTGTCTCTCCTCTCTCCCCTGTCTCTCCTCTCTCCCCTGTCTCTCCTCTCTCCCCTGTCTCTCCTCTCTCCCCTGTCTCTCCTCCCTCCCCTGTCTCTCCTCTCTCCCCTGTCTCTCCTCTCTCCCCTGTCTCTCCTCTCTCCCCTGTCTCTCCTCTCTCCCCTGTCTCTCCTCTCTCCCCTGTCTCTCCTCTCTCCCCTGTCTCTCCTCTCTCCCCGGTCTCTCCTCCCTCCCCTGTCTCTCCTCTCTCCCCTGTCTCTCCTCTCTCCCCTGTCTCTCCTCTCTCCCCTGTCTCTCCTCTCTCCCCTGTCTCTCCTCTCTCCCCTGTCTCTCCTCTCAGATACCCGAGTCTCCTGAGTCAGCAGAAGCAGGCAGCGAGCCAACCCACCAGGGCGGCCAGCAGGATCATCTCGTGGTGGATCTGCTGCTTCTTCTTGCATTCTTCTCCCGTGCGTTGCGTATGTCTTGTCGGATACAATAGCCGTGACAAACCCACTACAGCCCATCTGAGCCGCCAGCAGGATGGTTTCATCGTGAGTCTGTTGCTTCCTCTTGCATTTCTCTTCCGTGCATTGAATACGTGATGATACAACAGCCAGCCACGACGACAACCCCCCTACAACCCACCAGGGCGGCCAGCAGGATGGTTTCATCGTGAACCTGCTGCTTCCTCTCCCCCTTATCCTCTCTCCCCTGTCTCTCTTCTGAGTTAGCCAAGGACGCAGCAAGGCAACCCACCTGAGCCGCCAGCAGGATGGTTTCATCGTGGATCTGCTGCTTCCTCTCCCTCAAGTCCACCAGCCGTTGATCCGCCTCCTCTATGCTGTTAACGGAGCTGCTAGCAGTGGGGATGAAGCGGGAGGGAACGAACGGGAAGGAGGCACAGTGGTGGTCCTGATTTGCTTGTGTTTTTCTACCAGAGAGAAGCGTGATGAACCATGCATGCTTGCTTCTAACGTGCCTCCTGAGAAGACTACTCACTTTTTACCAGCTGGGAGCGACGCTCGCCCCTGCTCACCTCGTCGCAGCACCAGCCATGGCCCCAGGTCAGGTGGGCAGAGAGGCGGGAAGGAGCATGACTAGGATGTCTTGCAAACACCATAGAACACCATAGAACACCATAGAACACCATAGAACACCTTAGAACACCATAGAACGCCATAGACCACCATAGAACACCATAGAACACCATAGAACACCATAGAACACCATAGAACACCATAGAACACCATAGAACACCATAGAACACCATAGAACACCATAGAACACCAGAGAACACCATAGAACACCATAGAACACCATAGAACACCATAGAACACCAGAGAACACCATAGAACACCCCGCACATCCAAGCAGTACCAGCTGTGGCTCGGTTGAGCAGGTCAGGTGCAAAGAGATGCGGGAAGGTTCAGGCCTCTCTGGCCTCTCTGGTGAGAAGAGATGCGAGACGATCACACGTTGCTCACCCTTTGGGAGCGGAGGTCAGGTGCGTATCTGGTAGCAGCACCAGCCGTGGCTCGGATCAGCAGGTCAGGGAGGAGAGGCGGGAAGGAGGAGGACTAGCAGGCCTCGCTAAGGCCCCCATACCTCCTGAGAGCATACCGACTCAAAAGACCCCCATACCTCCTGAGAGCATAGCGCACCCCTCACCTGTTGGCAGCACCAGCTGTGGCTCGGTCGAGCAGGTCAGGTGAGAAGAGAGGCGGGAAGGAGGAGGACTGCAGACAGGCGGCCAGTGAAGGTGGCCCGAACGAGTCGAACGACAAATGATCAGGCGGCCTGAGAGTGGTGGGTGTGAGAGACGGGGAATGGTGAAAGGGAGGAATGGGGAAAGGGGAATGGGATGGGAATGGCCATGGGAAATGGGTGCAGCCACTGATGACGGCCCGAACGAGTCCAAAGCCAACTGATCAGGAGGCCTGGAAGGCTGGAAGTAGTTTGGGGAATCGTTTTGGGTGGGGAGATGCGAATCGGGACATGGGGAATGGGTGCAGGCAGGCAGGCAGCCAATGTTGAGGGCCCATATGAGCTGAGAAAACTGATCAGGCGGCCTGAAACGACGCGGGATAAATTGGGGAATGGTTTGGCTGGCAGGCGGGAAATGGGAAGGGTGAAGACAAGCCCATGTGCCATACCTTATCCAGGACATCGCCCCCTGTTTTAGCCACATGCACGTCCATTGACGCGCTGACACCTGAATAGGTTCCCCCCCTGGCTTGCGATTCTTAATTACTCCCACCTGTTCCATCGTGTCTCCACTCCATGTCTTAATGTTGCTCGGAGGACATCGTGTCTTAATTACTCTCCTACCAACATGCAAGAACTCTTGACATGCTGACGTGACGACCTAGCACGTTCAGACGTTCTTGAGAATTCTCAAAAATACCTTCCCATGTCCTCGACCCCCCCAGCCACATCCGCATCCCCATCTAGGCGACGCTTGGTCAACAGCCACCTCAGCAGCCCATACCTGTTCCATGGGGTCTCATGGCCTTCCAGCATCTGAGCCACGGACACATCTCAGTACCGCACTGACGAGCTTGTAGGCTCGACCCTGGCCTTGCCATTCTTGATTCCCCATACCTGTCCCTTCACCCTCTCTTGGTCCTCCACCCTCCGAACCACATGCACTTCCCGTTATCACACTGACGAGCTAGTGGGTTCAAACCTGGCCTTGCGATTCTTACTTGCCCATACCTGCTCCATAGCCTCTCCTGGTCCTCCACCATCTGAGCCACATCCAGAAGCCACTTCGCTCGCTCTGGCACCCCCCCCAATCCCTGATGGGCGCATGGGGGGATGGAGGGATTGAAATCGCACAGATGGGACGCGAGATCAGGCAGGGGGAATCCACCGTCACTGGGGCCATACCCACACCTGAAAGAGGGAAAGAGCAGGAAGGGCAAACGCGCTACTAACAAGGACCGGTGCAAAGCAGAGCAGAACGAGCGCTGGGCAAATGCGCGGAGCAGAGCAAAACAGAGAATGCAGCAGGAGCAGCAGGAGCAGCAGGAGCAGCAGGAGCAGCAGGAGCAGCAGGAGCAGCAGGAGCATGCTGGAGAGCTCCAACTCCCTTTGAGCCAGCATGCAGAGAAACGCAGGTGACAGAAGCAAGGGAGCAGGAGCATGCAGGCCACTCAAACTTACCCTGGCAGCGTCCATGCCCTCGCCCTGAGCCAGCCCCAGCAGCACGGCCGAGTGACACACGCCTGCCAGGAATGCACGAAGCAAGCAAGGTAAGGGCAAGGTAAGGGCAAGGCAAGGCAAAGGTAAGGTGGGAGGCACGGAGACGGATCATGGATGCTGGTTGGCTGCGATGGTGACTTTGGAATCGGCTCACAAGGCATGCTGGGGGAGCGGGAGATGCCTGTGAGGGAGACGCCTGAGAGGGAGACGCCTGAGAGGGAGACGCTTGTTGTTTGAATAAGTCAACCAAGACGAGATTCAGCAGCTGCGAAAGGCTGAAAGCACATGGATGGATGGATGGATGGATGGATGGATGGATGGATGGATGGATGGATGGAGTGGCAGGGAAGTAAACACAGGCGAGCTTCATCTCTTCCTGGGAATCACACGCGAGCTGACTGGCGAGCCTCGTCTGCACATCTGCTCCACTGTCTCCGACTAGGAGACCTTTGAGTCGACTCAAGTGGACCCAAGTCGACTCAAAAGTCACCTCGTTACAACACCACATGACACGAGCCTCATATGCACATCTGCTCCATCCATCCATTGCCAGCGACTGATTCGATACAGATATCAATAGAAGGAGACTCGCTTGTTGTGAGTGATGCGGACTTACGAGCCTCCACGTCATCGATCTCTTCAGCTGACGCTGCATGGCCATCACAATTCGAGTGCACAGAGCCGAGAATCCTGTTGTATGGATGGATGTGTGTATGTATGTATGTATGTATGTATGTATGTATGTATGTATGTATGTATGTATGTATGTATGTATGTATGTATGTATGTATGTATGTATGTATGTATGTATGTATGTATGTATGTATGTATGTATGTATGTATGTATGTATGTATGTATGTATGTATGTATGCATGCATGCATGTATGTATGTATGTACGCATGTATGTACAAAGCACAGGCGATATGCGTGGATTCACTCCGGGTCAAATCAGAAGTCACAATTCGTGTGCACAGCATGCGCGGATTCACAACCAAAAAAAAGTTGCACATGTGTGCATGCTACGCATAGATGGACGTGACACATAAAAAAGCAGTGGCATAGAGCTATTATAAACAAGGAGTGCAATGGCTGCAAATCAGGGATGCAATGTGACTGGACTGTAGCAGCGTGTGGAAACTTGATCACGGCCACAAAGTCACAACCTACCTCGCGCAGGTGCTACCTGGTGTCAGGGTGCCACGTGCTTACCTTGTGTCACGTGCTACCTGGTGTCAGGGTGTCGGTCTCAGGGGCTACCTGGTGAAGGCCCAGTCGAGGAAGTGAATGCGCTGCTCCGTGTGATTGAGAAGCAGGTCTACCGCTTCCTGATGCGGTACAGTGCGGTATGACGAGGTGGCATAGATTGGATGGAATTCTCGATTTAATGTTATGCAATGCGTACGCAGCAGAATAAAACCTTCTATAGCGTAGACTTATATCACTGTAATGCATGCTCCAGGATGCAGTACAGCTGTGGCACTAGATGAAACGACGTTTCATAGAATGACATGGGGATGAAACGGCATTCGGAATGCACAGGGGTGCAGAGATAGGCTTTAACTGTTCGCGAAGAAAGGAAAAGGGGTCCGCGAAGTGAAGAGAGAGACGGAACGCGACGTACGAGCGAAGGAGCGTTCGCGTCGGCGAGGGAGTAACCGATTTCGTCGAGTCGCTGAGCGATAGCCGTAGCCAAGTCCATGGTTGCGCTTCGTAGCTGAGAATGCTCAAGGGAAGCCTTGACAGAACGATTCGTGAGACATCTAGAAGTCGGCTCCTAGGGGGTAACAGGCGTCGATATAGTCAGCAGATCCTAACCGTCGCCAAGCTCATGGTTGCGCCGTGAAGCGCCTTCGCAGCTGAGAAGGCTCAAGGAAAGCCCTTCAACGAGGATATCGCCGGTGGTCCGACCAACACAGAGCAGCCGAGGGTCAGGCGAAACAGCAAACGAATCCAGCTTGCGAGTTGCAAGCAGGCAATAGACATGTGCGAAGACTTGATCCTAGTCTCGCAGGGAATGTACCTCGTCTGCCCAAATTCCCAAGGATTGAGCTCCTTCGCTTGGAATCCATTATGGTGAGAGTTCGAAAAGCAGGGCTCCTGTACTTGGAATTCTCTAGGGGTCGGAGCGTGTGGTGTTGGGATTCTCTCGGGCGTTTTCTCTTCACAAATCTAGACGCACGGCACACGCAGGTCCGTACCACTGAATCGTGTGTTTTGAAATCTGAGACAGGGTGCTACGTTAGAGTACATACTTCTCACGAACTGACGTCATTTGAAACTTGTTGCGAACGTCTACCGCGTTCTTGTTTAGGGCATGTGAGTTGGGGTACGAACAAGCATCCAGTACGAACTTCTAGAGCGGTAAAATACATTTTTGGTAGGTTGCAGGTAACTATTACCGCGTTACAGAGTGGTGACGGTACGAACTTTCGACAAAATTATAAGAACTCACGCGCCCTTACATTAGCAACTCCGAGCGCGGTGGGACGTAGGTTTGTTTCACTCAATTGTCAATTTGTGCAGAATCTTATAAACATTCGGAGGCATAGAAAAAGAAAAGGTTTCTATTGTAACATTGGATTGGAGCTCTCTACAGAGAGGATTGGAAAACCATTTTGCCGTTGGTGACTTGAGCCAATCAATCTCGTGGTTGACAATCAATGCAGAACCTTGGCGGGAAAACTTGTCCATAAACCGCTTCGAGTTTCGTTGTTCTGACACCACCGACGACTTCTTCCACCAACCGCCTCCTATGCGACAAGCGTGCGACGAGCATTTCCTTTCTGCTGTGGCCATCAAGTCACGCGACTGTGTCGGGTGCCACGACTTTGCCCTAGCTCCCACGAACCCCAGTGAATTGAAGACGCGTTTACATTTGCATACGGCATGCTCCAAAGTCAGACTAACTTCGGGAAAATCTAGCACTTCCGCTGAGGATTTCACTTAGCGACACCGCAGTGATTTGCGGACGGCGCTAATGTTCGCTTCTCTCAACTACGAACACTGATGCCCATTTTCATCAGCTAGAATCTATTAACGACATAGCGCGGCGACTTTTACAGAAAAAGTGACATCAGTGTGTGAAGTGATTCTTTACAGCACGCCCTCAATACGGTGATGTGTTGCGAACAATTTCTGAGCCCCTTCACCCTCAGCCTGGAGACCTCCCTGCTGTTGGCCTGTACAGTGTAATACCATTTTATGGCTGCTGCTGGTTCATGTTGCTCTTCACAGTACGCCATGATTTAGGTTTTCCTGCCTCTGTTTTAGACTCTGAAGAAGAGCCCGAGGCTTCGCTATCCCAGTTTCGCGCCTCTGCGTTCTGCGAAGACCTGTCGCTTGCGTTTGTAGTCACTCAAGCGGGAGTCGACTCGTAACACTTCAGTGATTGGGTCTGACCCATGGTGGATCGAAGCCACGTTTTTTCTAGCAGTCGCCGTAAAAACTATTTTTTGAGCTAGTAGCCGATTCCATTAATAACTTTTTTCATGGCGGGGTTGTGTATAGCGTGTACGGAAGGTCGGGTTAGAATCCAAGCCCTTCTGGATGCGAGATGAAGAGAGAAACTGGACGAGCTCGCACGCCTTTTATACGAAACCACCATCGGCTCACCTTCATTCCTGTCTCCTGGACCTCTCGTGTGCGAAAAGCCACGCCTACACAGTCACAAGTAGCGCCAGCGCCTCTTCCCCTCGATATAATGCCTCCTCCCGTCGACCTCTCCTCTCAACCTCGTCCCGGTACCGCAGGCAGTACACCCCGAGGGGTAAACCAGGACTGGTTACCCGCAGATGGAGGGGTACGAGGGGGTAACCAGGAGAAGTTACCCGAGAAAAAGGTTACCCCCACTCTTAGCGTCGCACATAGAGTCGCTTCTTTCAGGCAAATGGCTGGGGAGGCCAGGAGCTCCTCTCCCGGACCTGCGAGCTCGGGAAGATTCGGAACCGGCGCTGCAGGTTCGGCGAGCTTGTTTGGGCGTGGTTCGGCTGAAGCTGGTTCGGAGGAAGTTGGGTTGGAGGTGCAGCTAGGGCAGCTGAGAATAAAGAATACAGATTTGAAGCTTAATGTGGAGAATTTGCAAGCAGAGCTGAAGGCTTCTAAAGAGCAGATCGGGCAGCTGACAAAAGAAATTGAGGCTTGGAAGAAGGAGGGAGTTTCGAAAGACACTGCTGCTGAGATGAAAGCGGAGATTGAGAAACTAAGGAATGAACTGGCAGAGAGCAAAGGAGGAGGGGGGAAGGGGCTGGGGGGACTGGGAGAGAGAGATAAGGAAATTAAGGAGATGGAAGAGAAAATGATGATAATGGAAGTAGACGTTGGGAAGTATAAATTCGTGCATGACAGCTTAAAAGAGAGGGTAGAAAAGGCTGACCAGGGATAACAAGAAACGAATTGCGTCTGAGAAGGAGGCTCTTGATGCGATTGGGAAAGTGAGGGAGGAGAAGGAGGAGGTGGAGAGGAGATTGGCGGAGGTCGAGATGGAAAGGGATGAGGCGAAGAGGAGGTGTGAGGAGGCGGAGAAAGGGAGGGAAGAGGCTGTGAGGGTGAGGGAGGAGGTGGAGGTGAGGAGAGATGAGGATGTGGCAGCTGTGCGGAAAAGACTGGGGGAAGAGAGGAGGAGAGTGGAGGAGGAGAGGGATGGAGTGGTGAAGGCGAAGGAGGAGGTGGTACGGGAGAAAGAGAGACTGATAAAGAGAGTGGAGGAGGAGGAGAGGAGGCGAGAGGAGGCTGAGGGCGGGAGACGAGAGGCGGAGGAGGAGAGGGCACGAGCTGGAAGGGAGAGGGAGCAGGCGTGGAAGGAGAGAGAAGAAGCGGAGGCAGCGCGCAGGGACGCGGAGAAGGATAGGGATGAGGCGGTTAAGGCCAAGGAGGAGGCGGAAGCGAGACGGGAAGAAGCAGAAAGTGCTCGTGAAGCTGCAGAAAGGAAGCAAGAGGAGGCAGAGCGGGAGAAAGAGCAGGCAGAGGAAGCGAAGTCAGAAGCAGAGGCACGGAAGGAGGAGGCTGAGGTGGAGAGACAGAAGGCGGAAGAAGAGAAGGAACAGGCGAAGAACGAGAGAGAAGTGGCGGAGGCAGCACGGGGGAGGCGGAGAAGGAGAGGGATGAGGCGGTAAAGGCTAAGGAGGAGGCGGAGGGGAAACGAGTGGAGGCAGAAAACGCTCGTGAGGAGACGGAGAAGAGGCAAGAGGAGGCAGATCAGAGGAGGGAGGAGGCAGAAAGCAGAAGAGAGGAGGCGAAGAGGGAGAAGGAGCAAGCAGAGAAAGCAAGGGCAGAGGCAGAGGCAAGGAGAAGCGAGGCAGAGAGGGAGAAGGAGCAAGCAGAGGAAGCAAGGGCAGAGGCAGAGGCAAGGAGAGACGAGGCGGAGAGGTCTCAAGCAGAGGCTGAGGCGAGGCTAGCAGAGGGAGAAAAGGCGAAGGAAGAGGCGGATAAGGCAAGAGAGGAGGCGGATAAGGCAAAGGAAGAGGCAGAGAAAGCAAGGGAGCAGGCAGAGAAGTCAAAGGAGGAAGCCGAGAAGGCAAGAGAGGAAGCAGAGAAGGCAAAGGAGGAGGCGGAGGCAGCAAAGAGTGAGGCTGAAGAGAAGCTAGCAGTGGCTGAGGAGGGCAGGTGTGCAGCTGAGCAGGCTCGGTCCGAGGCTGACGAGCAATCAGCTGAGGCAGAGAAGAAGAGACTAGCGGCCGAGGAGGCTCGGGCCGAAGCAAGGAAGCAGGTGGGGGAGGCAGAGGAGGCACGGGAGAAGGCTGAGCAGGCTCGGGCCGAAGCTGAAGAGAGGAAGCAGGATGCCGAGAGAAGAAGGGAGGATGCTGAGATGAAGCAGAAGGAAGCTGAGGAGAGAGCGGAGGAGGCAGAGGGGGGAAGGAAGGAGGCAGAAGAGAGGAAGGAGGGAGGCCGAGAGGGGGAGGGAGGAGGCTGTGGGGTTTGACG